TTTGAGATTGATCTCTAATCTGTTTAATCAAATTTACATCCTGTACTGTAATACCAACTTTTTGATCCAAACGCCACCTCATAGACAATTGATTATAATAAAACCATGAATATTCAATATTTTCTTGTTTCAAATCTCCTAAAGATTTAAGTTGCCAATCTCGTCCTACCGGCGAAAGTAATTCTTTGTATGAAACTTTATCCAATTTAACTCCCTTAGATATCCCCTCTATTATCTGTCCTGGACTTGCCCAAATCGGAATCTTATAATTTAATCTATAATAATATTTCTTCCAAACTCGAAGTAGAGCACTTCTCAAAATATGAGCCTTAAAATTTCTATCTACTTTTTTATCATAAATTAAATATGCCTGCCAACCAAATAACAGGTCCCATCCTTCAAGAGAAAGTATGTTTCTATTTGTCAAGTTTAACCAATCACTAATCCATGTCTTCTTTTATTGTTGAACATCTTGCTATCAAATATATTCCCAAATATTTGACCTTTTTGACTATTTGCAATTCTATTTTTCTGATAATTGCTTTTATTGTTTATCTGTAAATATTTTAATTATCACTTTAGTTTTTTCTCTATTTATCTTTAATCCTGCTATCTCTCATAATTGTTCTATCTTTTCCAACAGTTTAGGAATCATCTCTAAAGGTTCCTCTAGAATGAATACCAAATCATCTGCAAATGCTTGCAGTTTGTAGGTTTCACCTTTTATTTTCAATCCTTTAATTTCTGGATCTTGCCTAATGTTTCTATTTAAAACTTCCAAAGTTAAGATAAATAGCAATAGGGATAATGGACATCCTTGTTTTGTGCCTTTTCGTACATCAAAATTCTCTGTGTAATCCCCATTTACAATTACTTTTGATTGTTTCTGATATATTGTCTGAATTGTATTTATAATGTTTTGACCAAAGTCCATTGTGTTTAGTTGTTGAATCATAAATTGCCAAGAAACATTATCAAATGCCTTTTGGCGCCTAAAAATACTAGTGCCAGTTGTTTCCCTGGATGAAGTTCATAATATTCCAATGTATCTAGTATTACCCTCAAATTACTTTTTATTTGTCTCTTTGGCAAAAATCCATTTTGATCTGGGTATATAAATTCAGTCAAAAATCTTTTCAGCCTCTCAGCTATTATTGAAGTGAAGATTTTTATAGTCCATATTCAGTAGTGATATTGGTCTATAATTTTTGATCTGGATCAGATCTCTTTTGGTATCAAAGTAACATTAGCTTCTGTCCAATGATCTGGGAGTTCTGCCTCCAATAGAAGTTTATTACATACATTTTTCAATGGTGAACTTAATATATCTTGTAAACATTTATAAAACTCTGCTGGGAGTCCATCTGGTCCCGGTGTTTTTTCATTTTTTTATCTTTTTATTGTCTCTGTCAATTCCATCATTGTTATTTTTTCATTTAACATAGTCTTAAAGTTTTCTGGAATTTTTGGTAAATTATTTTCTTCCATATATTGAGTCATCTTCTCCCATGGAGTTTCTTCCTTGTCATATAGTTTCTCATAGTATTCTTTATCTTTTTTATTT